AAAAGGAATTTTAGTTTGCTACTGACTCCTAAAAAAAAAAAAAAAACAAATCTCGAGCTGGCTTCAGAACCCGCGGTGACATCCCTGTGATCGTATTGCTGCCCGGCCAGCCGGAGCAGCGCGCTGACCCGTCTGGCCCGTGGGGTAGTCCGCCTCTTGATTGGGGACCTGCTCCAGGCTCCAGCAGCGTGCCTGGGCGACTTGCGCCAGTCTCCCACTGCCCCGGGCGGTCCAGCGGCTCCAGGGCTGAGCGCAGGCTGCGTGAGAAAACATCGCAAGAAAAAAAAGAGAGAGAGAGAGAAAGGGCTCAAGTCAACCCGGCTGCTTGGCAGGGTTTACTTTCTCGATCGCTTAGCAACCCCGAAACTGGGACACCGCTTGCTCCCCGCCACTGTTGGCGCAGCAGTGGGGGGGCTCATCTGCATGACCAAAGCGGTGTACAGTCGCAGGTCTTCTTCGCTTTTTTTCCATCATCGCGAAACTGTGCTGACGCTAACAGCCGTCCGGGCAGAAAAGTTGGTAAACTTGGTCGTTGAGCAGCAAAGCTTCCGCCCCCGAAGGATCCGTGTTTCTGTGTCCCAGGGAGGAATTGTTTCGAGGGGCATGTGGCCGCTGCTATCCCATGAGCGCACTGGAGGGCAGACCCCGCACCCCTCTATATGCGATCGGTCCGTCTCCAGCGCCGGCCTCTCCTCCCCGGCCGCGGGACCGCGCTCTCGGAGCCGGCTGGTGCTTTTCTGCAGCTTTAATGATCTGAGTGTCTGAAGATACCGCGGCTGCGAATCCCAAATAATTTGGTTTAGCTGTGATCCTCCTCGTTTTCTGCAGTCAGACTTATCAGAGCGTGCGTCGGTCTTATTGTTTAATGGCGCTAATGACCACTTGTTGGGTGGTGCAGTTGACATGGCGTTGTGAGGTTTGGATTTGGTCTTTCTCTTCAGCTCTCCCCCTTCTCTGTTTTGTTACAGAGGCAGCTTTTAAGGCTGACTAAGCGCACTGTATAATGATGTGTTAGTTAGGACATCACCACTGCCCTTGAGTCCAGTGTCACATGAGCCACTTAGTGTTCTCACTAATTTGCACTGTATCTTTTAAGTGATTACGGGTCACAGTCTCAGCCTTTTACATCAGAGCCTTCTCCAGATTAGCAGACAAGTACACAACCTCAGAGTGTGATTTTCCAGCTTGGCAGCGCGAGCGTGCAGCGAGCTGGGCACCATCTTTCTTAAAGCAACACTGCGCTGGGCCTTGGCGCGCAGCCCAGCTGCAGGAGGTCCCGGGTGCCGGCCGCCCCGTGCCCCAGACTGAAGAGGGACGCGGGGGACTGGATGTCTGTCCCGTCTTCAGCTCACCTGTGCAAAAGCAATCCCAGCTCCTGATCCATTATCGGGGCCAGGAGCGGAGGGCAGTCCCACAGATCAGGGATTTCGGACCGCGAGGTCTGCAGGCACGGGCCTCTCGCTCGTGTGCCTGTTGCAGTGGCGGTGCCCAGCAGACAACGGCAGTGCTTTCCTGCCTGCGTGTCTTAAGGAACTGGGTGCAAGTAGGCCGGTGGCAGGTCCATCAGCGGGCGAGCTGCCTCAAGCAAGACCTGCCGGGAGTTTTGATAGTTTGCAGTCTGCAGAACCGTTCTTCTCAGGGCCAGAGAAAAATGTTATGGGAGAGAGGGAGAGGCTGTGTGGGTTGAGCAGAGTAGATCCAGCTTCGATGCCAGGGGGAAATGTGGGCCCGTCCAGCTGGAACAGATGTTTGTTAGACTGGTGACGGCATGGCGGTGCCAGCCCTGCCTTGCAGTGGTGGCGCTTTAACTGTGGCAGTTTATCGGGCGCTGTAACGAAGAGACGAGGTGTGTTAAGAACGCACTGATGGAGACTGACTCGTACAAGTGCACTAAGTAGAGTCGAGCAATCAGTTTCCACAGAGCCATTCCGGGGGCTCCGCACTGCGGGAAACATGCACTTAATGGAGTGTGTCTGAGGTGTGATGCAATGCAGGTAGAGAAACGGGCCGGTAGCGGGGCAGAATACGGTACATAGAAGGTTAACGCTCGAGAAAGTTGCACGGAAAGTTTTGGCGGCTGCGACCATCTGGAAATCGCTTACTGTACGTGCGCTTGTCCTGTCTGCAGTCGAGCTATTGTTGAGCGGTTACCAGGGGAGTTCCAGTGTTTGTCCGTCTCGACAAAAGGCGAGCTGAAGTATTTCTTCTAGCATGTCTGTAAAAATTAGTATTGGCCATGTGAGGGGGGGGAGGGAGGAAGATATTCGCCAGCCCAACACCTCTATTCATTTTGCTGTTTGCCCTCCACACGCTCTTTTATGAAGACGTTGCCAGAGCCCATGGGAACTGTACTGTTGATTCTGTTTGGCCCGGGAGCACAATGGAAATTAGACAAACAAGAGGGTAACACATATGCACTTGACAAAGTTAAATCTAAACACCCTGCATATGTCAAATTCAATTACCGGCAGCGTGGCCCGAGAGAGCCTTCTGTGGAGAACACATCGAGAGCAGAGGCCTAATTATCTAAACAAAACACGAAAACAAAGACTTGAACAGCACCAATATTAATTCTGATTTAAAAATAGCTTGCGTCCTACAGCGGCACACAGGTTTGATTTCACCTGGATAATAGAAGCAGTTATTGTTGCTATTTGTACGGACAGGCTTCAGATAAGATGTACAATGGAACTTAAATAAGTAAAGAACATAGAGGCTGATAAGCATGAAAGGAGCTCTCCAGTGTTAATTACAATGGGGAGGAAACAGGAACAAATTACATTATCCTCTCGCAGGGAGGGGGATAGTTTCTGTGTTGCAGTACCTGACCTGCAGAGGTGTAGTTCAGAGACCCACAAGGCAACACCTGCACTTCATGTTACTGCGCCCAGCACTGCTGGATAACAGAGGGTCCTCTGCTGTTTTTTTAATCGCTTTTTGTGCGAATCATTTCTAAACCTGCATCTTACTGCTTTCGCATTGCATTTTATTCAGTCATGTATGGACACATTTTTATTCTGTTGACTGGTTGCACAGCCTCTTATTCTTGGTGAGCCTGGTAATGCTACCCTGAATGTGACCAGGGAGCTGTTCTGTTCAATGTAAGGTCTGCCTTTCCTGTGCATGGTGTGTGATCAACTTACAGACGGAAATCGTAATGTTATTCTCTTAACCTCAAATCTATGCAGGCAGAGAAAACAAAAATAATACACTTGCATCTCAATATTTAATTAGCAATTAAGAGATTAAACAGAGATAGAATTATGTTAAGAAACAGCTAGTCTTCTTAATGTAAAGCCGGAGGAGTTGGTCAATCGCGGAGCATTATCAGAGGTTCTGCTTTCCAGATGGGTTATTGATTTATTTGACTGTTTCTTTTATTAAAAGCCACTTGCACTCATAACCAGTACTCCAGCTGGGCGTTTTACTGGAGCAAACAGAGTGCTGTACCCTGGAGCAAGGCACAGCTGCAGTCTCCCGCCTGGATTCGAACCCGCAACCCTCGAGCCCTAAGTCCTAGCCCCTACTGCAGAGTGCTTCATCTGGGTGGTTCTGGGTGTCTGAGCACGCAGATGGGGAATACAACTGCCTTTCTGGGTTCCCTCAGCCTGTCGGCCTTTAAATCCTTGCTCGCCATCATGCCTTGCAGGAGAAGGCAGGAAGGTTTTCCGTAAGCGAGTGGGAGTTTTGCCCCCCCGCCCCGAGAGAACTTTCCCTCTTGCCTGCGGTGGCGCTGCAGGCTGGCCAGCGGAGAGCCCAGGCCGACGTCTGCACCCCCGTCAATTAGCGCTGCTGAGGAACAGGTGCTCCGCGCATTCGGCATTCAGGGGTCTTGAGCTATTGTTAGGAGGCGAGGAGCTCCCCCTGTCATTATCCCCTCGTTACACCAGCAGCCCAGTTTAATGACAAAATCGTTCAGTCCCATGGCCAGTTGCACCTGTTTGAAAAGGGCTGAAGGGCAGCGGACGTCTCCGCGTCAGTCGCTGGGGAGCTGCGCGGGGCTCTCCGCCCCTCCCGCCGGGCATACCCACAAGGGCTCTCCACAGCCGGGTCCGCCAAGCCTTTCTGCTGGAGAAGTGGCCTCTGGCACAGCAGCCATGAGCATCCAAACCTGGAACTGGGAATTAAACTCAAGTGTTTCTTTGAAATTGTTGCTCATTGCAGTATGAGATTACTCTGACCTGTGATTCTCTCGCATGACTGGCAGATCTAAGCTGGATTGCAATGAGTTGGGAGTAAATTAGGTATCCCACTGATAACAGGATATTGTATGTCCTGCGTACAGAATACATATGGATTTGCATGGTATGTGAGCGTCTAGATCCAACATTGTTCTGAAACTATTTTTTTGTTTGCTGGTGAATGTATACAGTTTGAATATGAATAAGATCTCTATAGGCCTGTGGAAAGACGGCTGAAGGAGATGGCTGGAGTTCTGGCCCATCGTCTTCCTCTGCTTGTGTGCTTGTGGATCCAGGAGGCCGTTCAGCCCGGTGAGCCCCCCGGCTGCTGGTCGCCGCAGTCTGAGGGCCTTACCCAGCGGCTCCATGGGAGAAGCCAGGGTATTGGTGACCAGCAGCATGGCCGGCCAGTTTTTCCTGCGACCCTTTGTGTCAGAGAGCGCCTCGCCGGCTCTGTCGGCGCCTTTCTGCTCAAGACGAGCGGGGTTCAGGTTCCCTGCAGGACCCCGTGGCTCGACGGGCTTGCTTGTGTGCGTAGGCCGGCAGCCCCTCCTCTCGCCAGCCGCGGTGCCTCGCACGAGCTGCACGCGCGGGTTCGGTTCTTCGTCCAGTTTTTAACGCGTGTGCTGCGGTAGTGACCACATTTTCTAACTCTTGTGGTGTTGTCGTGTTCGAAGGGACGCCTGCAGGTTGTGGAGGCGGGCCGCGGGGAGCCTCACGCCTCGCGGGGGTGGTCAGGAAGGTCCGGCTAGCGAGGGGAGGCCGTGTCTGTCTGTCCCTCTGTGTCCCTCAACCCCCTCTCCTTTCCTGTCTCCCCAG